AGTATGAAACCTGGTGATCTAAGGTGTACATACTTCTAACACTGAGTCATAGACACGATAAAAAGGAAATCAGAATGGCATTAAGTGGACTTACACGTACACAGAACTCATTTGACTACTAAAAAAATTAATAACTGCCTTTCTCCAGGTAGTCTTTAGAATGATCAAAAGATGAAATTCATCATCTTGTGCTATGTCAGAATGTCTAATTAAATGGTGGAGTGAGCAGTGATGTTGTACTTGTTCGTGAGCAACAGACCCTGCATTGTGAAGTTTATCTGACTCATTCAAAAAGAAAGGAAAGTAAATATCCTCCAGTGCCAAAACCCGAATAGCCTAGAAAACAACGGGGTCAAAATAAGGTATTGGGTTTGTTTGGTTTTATTTCTTTAACTGACACATAATAGCTATACATATTCGTGTGGTTTACAGTAATATTTTGATATATAATGCACAGTGGTAAGATCAGGGTAATTAGCGTATCCGTCACCTCCAATAGTTATCATTCCTCTGTACTGGGAAATGTGATTTTCAATGATTTCAAAGGTAGTGGAGCATTATTCAAGAGAATTTGAATGTGTAGTGGCTGGCACTTGTGCTGACATGATAGATGACAGATGGGAACTGGTGATTTGCACTTCTGCCTTCTTCCCTGTGGCCCTGGCACAGAAAGCAGCTGTCCATTTGGGGGACTATACATACTGCTCCCACTCCAGAAACGGCCCAACTCTCATCTCTGCTTGGTAGCTGGCATTTATCTTGTAAAGCCTGTCTCTAACATCGGCGAAAATCTCCCTTATTCTCTAACATCCTCCCAATCCTACCACAAGGCTCCCTCCCCATACATTTCCATTTATATCACCAACATTCATCACCCTAGATTGTAATTAGTTCCACGTAAATTCCTCCAAAAGATAAAAAACAGGCTTCATTACCTTGGTATCTCTGGATCTAGCATACGGTGGGGCTAAATGATATAGGATTACTGTCATGATAACGCCTACCTTAAGAAAAGCCTGACTGAAGAATAGATTTAATTAGAATATGTATAACAAATATTTTTAAAATAAAACAAATTGGTCTTCTAAATTGCCTTCATTATTTATGTAAAGTATAGGGAGGAAAGTTCAGACACTCTCAGGATAATTACTACTGTTATATAATCTTTACATCTTGCCATCACCAGAAAATAGTTCTAATCTTATATTATTGTAGTACTAAGAAAAGTTATTGCATCTAAATAGGAAGGAACATTTCCACTTTACCAAAACATAGATATGCTCCATTTAACTTTTTTTTTGGACAGAGTCTCACTTTGACGTCCTCAGTAGAATGCTATGGCATCATAGTCTACAGCAACCTCGAACACTTGGGCTCAAGCCAATCACTTGTCTCAGCCTTCAGAGTAGCTAGGACTACAGGTGTCCGCCACACTACTTGGCTATTCTTCAAAGACAAGGTCTCACTCTGGCTCATGCTGGTCTTGAACCTATGAGTTCAGGCAATCCTCTCACCTCCACCTTCCAAAGTGCTTGGATTACAGGCCCTAGCCATCTCACCCAGCCAATATGTTCCATTTTAAAGAGATCTCAGTCTAATTTTAACATTGGTGATAATTTAAGTCATAGCACCTTGAAAATACAATGGTTCTATAACATTATGCAGGATCATAATAGAAGAAAAAATTATTTTGGTATTTCTGTGACTAGTTCTCTCTCCTCCAAAGACAGCTAAACCCCAAAGAGCTCTTTTACTATATAATTCTTTTTTGAATAAAATTTTGCCTTCATTTCTTTCTTCAAACGAAGCCCAGTGTGGCAGATCACACCTATGATCCCAACGTTTTGAGAGGCTGAAGCAGGAGGACTGTTTGAGGCCAGGAGTTTGTGATCAACCTGAGCAACACAGTGAGCCCTCATCGCCACAAAATGGAAAACAATTAGCAGGATGTGGTGGCAGGTGCCTATGGCCCCAGCTACTCGAGACACTGCGGCAGGAGACGGCCTGCACCCCTCAGTTCAAGGCTGTCGTGAGCTACTACACTCCAGCCTGGGTGACAGATCAAGACCCTATCTCTTCAAAAAGTATTTTCCCTCAAATATAGCCTCTAAATACACTGCTTCTGATTCCTCACTCTTCTAATTCTACAACCCTTCACAGTAGCCCAGCTGAGCCTCTTATTTTCTAGCATTTCAGTCTATTTTCTAGTCTCAGTTCCCAGCAGCGTAGGTCTCCCAGGTCCTCCTTGCAGAACTATTAACCTTCACGCTATGTCACACTTCTCTCAGTCTCTAGCGGCACTCCATACCACTCACCACTCCTGCCGACTTGGAATTCTCTCCCCTTGCTTTCGTCAGTACATTCTCTACAATGTCATCCACCTCTCCAAATGCTCCTCTTCTGTCTCCTCAGCAGTCTCCCCCGTACCCATAATCATGGGCCTTCCCCACATTTCCTTCATTGGCTCTTGGCTCTTTTCCATTGTGTTCTTCTCCTGGGTCCTCTGAAGATCTGTGTTCTCTGACAGAATCAGTGGCCACCTGTACAGAGCTGACTCCCAACTCTGCCATCAGTACCTCTGACTTCCCAGCTCGCCTCAGTTCACACATTTCCAGCTGCTCAGCAGACAGATATGCAGCACATCCACCAGAAGGTGGTGAGTTTCCCCCTTACCAGCACCCCCATGTCTCCCAGTGGCCTCCCATTTTCGGTTCTCCCAGGTTAAAGAGTTTGGTTGCCTATAACTTTCATCCTCATGTCCTGCATCTATATCCTTTCTTGTTCCTTCAAAATATTGACTATTGGATTCAATTTTTTGTCCCCAACTGAGTCCTGGCCTTTATCGCTCCACTCTGAGATCACCACCTCGTCTTCTTTCTTATCTCTCTGAATCATTTCTACTTATTTTACTAAATTGGTAAGATTTCCTAAAACGCAATTTTTCAAGCTCAGATTGGTAAAGTGACGCACCCAATGCCATCACAACAATTAAGAAAGAGCGCCAAGACTGAAACCTAATTCTCCCCAAAGCCTGGGTGCGCTCCTCTACCCCACAGTGATCCTTAGTCTGACATTCCAACTTCAGACACAGCCTGCCCCACCAGCACTGTGGAGATGAGGTTCCCTGCTCTGATAGGCCTCTGATTTCTCATTGGGGGTTCCTATAGTTTCAACCCTACCAAAAGCTCTAGTACCTTATCCATTTATAGCTAATTAAAGGGTCCTCAAAAAAGCCACTGAAGAATTCCACATGAAATCAGTTTTTTGGCCACTTCTACTCAGATTTTACCCAAAGTCTGGCTCTGTGCTCCCCACACAAATCCTCGCCTTAGTTAGTACTCAGTATACTTGGTCCCCTAGGGATAGATTCCCCCAGTAATGGGGACCCCCAGACCTTTGGCATCCTGGCTCTCCCTGACACCAACAGCCCCACTGAGTAGACATTCACCATATTCACTGCCCTGCAGTCTGGCCGGCTAACCCCTCTCCCCTGCTGCCCTGCGGCCTGGCCGGCTAACCCCTCTCCCCTGCTGCCCTGCGGCCTGGCCGGCTAACCCCTC